ACTCCAGAGGAGCCCCCACCAACATCCTTACCACTACAATATGATGTCCAAACTACTATACTCGATGGTCTGAGCAATGAAGGCAAGTGTGCCAAATGTTGTCTTCATCACCCTGTCGACCTGTTATGCAATTTTCAAGGAATTATGTACCTGAACCCCCAGGTCTCTCTGTTCGACAACACTCCCTATGATTCTGCTATAAATCATGCCATGGCCCACATCATTCAGGCTATCAGAGCAAAAATTTCAAATGCCATCCATCAAGAAAAAAGATTTTTTTGGTGACTGGGAAGAAGTGGGTATGTAGGTAATTGAAAGTATTATGACCAGTCCCCAGGTGAAGTTCCATGATTTCCGGATACCTCAAAGTGTTAAGCTCCTGAGTGAGGAGAGGTGAACTGGCACCCCTGGGTTATTCATCTGACCCCAGTTGGTCACAACAAGGTTAATTTTTTAAAAGCCTCTCTTCCATTCCCTTCTCCCAGACCCAAATGAACTTAAGTTTTAAAAGGAGTCAAACTAAACAGGCATTCCTGAATTAACAAAAAGATTGAGTTCATTAACTGTGAAACATGCGATAAATAGTAATTTAACACCCGTATACACAGATTAGAAATAAGAGGTGAATCCAAAATTTAAAAGTCTTCAAATAAGACTAATGATCACTTTCTGAATTGCTCGTGCAGAGAGGATAGTGAACGTTTCAATTATTGCAGTGGATATCAGTTGAACAGTCAAATTTGAGATTCTTTGCTTTGTAGGTTGATCGAAACTATTTTGACTCAATTCCTTTCAGCAGTGGTTGACTCTTCAAGTGCAAAGGTCCTTTTGTTGTCCTGTTACTTTTTAACTAGCTTGCTGGTGAGTTGGCTTCTAGAACTCATTGAGAGAATGTCTTTTCTCATTTCTTTATCTGGGTTGCAGGAGTGTTTCATGGCCGTTCACAAAACTATGACCTTCATAACACTCTAGGCTACATACTAGGATGTCAGGCTACTAATACACATAGACCAGCATTTTAGCTCGCTTTTAACCCTGTTTGTTGTATAGACCTGATTGCATGAGATGGCTTCCCACTGACAGAGGCTAGCTAGTTGGCCTCTCATTATTGCTTCCTCTTTAGACTTTCCATTTGAAATTTCCCTGATTCTGTACAACAGTGACATTCCAGAAGTTCTCTTCAGGAGAACTCTGAATTTACATCCACAGGGATCTTGGCTATGTTAGCACAATTTAAAAAAAAACTTTGAATTAAAGTGCTTTTGTCCAAGGTGATCACGGGTTATAATCCATGGTCATGACAGGAAAGAGAGTACGAAAGGGGAAAGTGCCATGGGAGGCTGTGGAGAGTTAAGGAGAATGCAGAAATAAGAACAAGAAGGTTGTCTTCAATCAATTAATTGTTGTTAAGTGAGGGTGAAAAATGAGGCTGGCACGACGGCTCAGTGGTTAGCACTGCTGCCTTACAGCACCAGGGACCTGCGTTTGATTCCATCCTCAGGTGACTGTCTGTCTGGAGTTTGCTTATTCTCCCTGTGTCTGTGTGGGTTTCCTCCCACAATCCAAAGATGTGCAGGTTAGGTGAAGTGGTCATGCTAAATTGTCCATAGTGTCCAGAGATATGTAGTTTAGGTGGATTAGCCATGGGAAATACAGGGATAGGGTTGATAGGGATGCTCTCTAGCGAGGCAGTACGGGCTGAATGGCCTGCTTCCACACTGTAGGGATTCTGTGAAAAGATAAGATGTGCTCCAGTGTGGAGGCTGGGTTCAGTGTTCAAAAACAATGCTTCAATTCTTATTAGTCTGGCTATTGTTTGACCGATGTTTGTCAGCTCTGGTTACCCAAGTGGTGATGGATGTTAAGGAGATATGCTGCGTTAAGATGTGTGGGCTTTTATTTCAAAACAATGGTCAGTGCTGAAGTGGGTGGATGCCAATCAGTGTCATTTTGCTCTGCAAGTGACATGGCACTTGGGTTGTACAACTAGCAAGTCGGAAACTTCATTCCACTACTTATGTCACTGGAGAAACAGATAATTTACTTCTAGAAGTATAAACAATACAAATATACCACTTTTAAAATAATTGTCACAGACTCTGGCTTTAATGCCACTGTGGTAGCTGGTGATGAAAAAATGAGGAGTAGGGAAATGAAAATGATGGAGTTTTGGGACTTGAACAATAAGAAGGATGATGTCAGAGGAATGAAATGCACAGGACAAGAAGTATAAAAATACTACCAGAAAACTTTCAGCTGGAGTAAAAGGCTGCCTCTGAGTATTTCTGTCATCCCTGCATTGTGAAAATTGAGAAGAACTTGGTAATTTATCTCTCAATAACCAATGTCTGGTTGGCTATCATGCAGTGAAATATCATGGCTGGAATGTTGTCCAGTAGTTTGGATTATTCTGTTGTGGCAGTCTAAGATTCACTTGGTATTGTTCAAATAGAATATTACAATTCATTCTCCTACACAATTTACTCTGCCTTCTTCAAATACAGGAAATCATCGTCATTCCATTTGTTCTGTCAATGCTGAGAACAATTTCCTAGTAGCAAAAATTCTGCTTTTGTAGTTATGCTGAAAGGAATGCTAAAACACAGTTGAATGGAAGTCTGAGCTGTATGATATGAAGTTTAGATTGATAATTCAAAACGTTAACCTAACAGACATCTGGAGTGAGCAAACTGAAGATTTTCTAACATAATAAAACAGCTAGGAAATTGGAAGTTGTACAGCAGAGCAACCTAGAGGATTATTTGGGGGAAAAATTTTCCTTAGCCTGAACTTTTATCACTTGTAGCTTCACATTACATAAATATATTTTGCTCATTGATTCAACCCATGATTCTGCCAATGCAATATCTTCCTTCTAATACTGATAGATAGGAGTCAATTCAGTGAAAAACAACAATGATAATTCTAGAAAGAATAGCAATGATGGTTAAATATTTTAGGTCATGATGGAAAGCAAGAAGATTTGAGTACAGGAGCAGGGATGTTTTGCTGCAATTATACAAAGCTTTGGTGACACCACACCTGGAGTATTGCATGTAGTTTTAGCCTCCTTATCTGAGGAAGGATGTTCTAACTATAGAAGAAGTGCAGCAAAGATTTACCAGACTTATTCCTGGGATGGTAGGTCTGACATATGAGAAGAGGTTGAATTGGTTAGGATCATATTTGCTGGAGTTCAGAAGAAGGGTTGGGGGGGGCAGTGTTGCTTCTCATAGAAACCTATAAAACTTGAACAGGGCTAGACAGGATTGATGCAGGACGGAGTCACACGGGAGTCCAGAACTGGGGTCACAGTCTAAGGATACAGGGTATACCATTTAGGACTGTGATAAGGAGAAATTTCTTCACCAAGAGAGTGGTGATTCTGTGGAATTCACTAGCACAGAAAGCAGTTGAGACCAAACATTGAATGATTTCAAGGAGTATTTGGACTTAGCACTTGGGGCTAAAAGGTTCAAAGAGTAATATGGGGGAAAAACAGGAACAGATTATTGAGTTGGATGATCAGCCATGATCGTAATGAATGGTGGACCAGGCTCGAAGGGCCGATTGGCTTACTCCTGTTCCTATTTTCTATGGTGAATTCCTTTAACCTTGACCAAGGCACTAGATTTTGTTATGAGTAAGCCTTGATGTCTGCAGGGTATTAGACTACAGAAGACATTTTAAGGCTGCTCCACATCTGATGTTTACATTGGTGCACTTCCAGTAATGATTACTGGATATCATAAGGATAGCAACTCTGATATATTACCCTACATTCAAATGTGCTGTGACCAATTGCTGTACCTTCACCACTTCTTCACTGATATCAACTAAGTCAGTAAATAGCCAACACTGAATGTGAGGTCTTCCTGGATTGTGTGCCTCAACTATTTACTTGTCTTTCAGTACTGTAGTAATGTAAATTCTTTGATTTATTATGGGATAGATTGCCTGGTTATGAGGTTAAGCATGAGTCAAGTTCAATCTGACCTTCTAAATGTTATGCCACAATGCTCCTAAGTGTCATGGTGAGAAATTTGATGCTATTTCTGTACTGTAAATCTCTGCTCCATTGTAGAGTTTTAATATTACCTCACCAGTCAGTGATTTTGTATTGTATATTGTCATGCAGAGTAACTTGGTTATCTAAATAGTAGGATAACTTAGTGATGAGGCTGGCTTTTAGAAAATGTTTGGGGAAATCACAATGCTACAGCTTTTAGCGTGTAATTTGAAGATTAGACCTCTTTATCTTTAGTGAGTTATATACTTCTCTCTTTGAGAAATTACGTGCTAGATTATTATCCATAAACAATAAAACAAATGTTTTAATTTTTGAAAAGAAACTTTGAAACATCTATTTTTTGGAGATTAAAAATAATTATCTTCCTTACACTGCCCAAAATGTGTTGGTAACCCGAAAAATGAGGTGATAGTTGGAGGAACTTGACCCTTTAATTGCCAAGTTCCAACTAGTGAGCAGCCATGGTCATCAGAAACACTACAGCCATTTGTAAAATTGTGCATGTTATTCAGTAATTTTCATTTTCCTTGTGATTATATTGCTGTTTTTTTAAAAAATGATTAAAGAAAGGAAATGCCAAGAAATATTTTTGTGTTAGAAATTTATTGAACATTTAAGCACGTTTGGCGAACATTCCTGTGTGAAATGTTTTAATTTATGCATCAGAGATTACACTTAATAATTACTAATATTGAAAAGGACATTTCCAGATTTTAAAAAAATCACAAACATGATGCCTGGCCAGCTTTACCCTGAATTTGAAAGAACTAAAACAAGAATTTCCTGGTTAGCAACAGATTTAAAATTATATTCTTGTTTTAGCAGTCAGGAACTCTTGTGTTCTTTGAAACCATAAACAAAATGATAATTTGTTTTCAAGGGCAAAGGAGGAGCTTTCAGTGGTTGTGATTGGCTGCTGAATTGTCCGGTCCTATGACTACATCCCCTAATTAGTTTGTGTAGTACGGGATTCACATAGGCTCAGTGACATTTGTTGATCCTTTAACTCAGTACTATGTTTTGGTAGCAGCCTCTATGCAATGACAAAGGAATTTTGTGTACAGTGTATTGAGTCTGCAAAGAATTTTTTCAGAATTTCCATTAACCACATAGATTGGTCTTTCTCGGTTGCTTAATGGTCACACATTTTGAAGAGCAGACATGAGCTTGCATGCACGACGAGTCACATTGCCTGCAATCACTCCACTTTTACTGCAGAAACGGGTAAGATAGACTTTAATGTTTGTGTTCAGTTACTCTTATTTTTTAAAAAAAGCAATTGTTTGTAAATCTATTCCTTGAAAAGGCAATTCTCTCAACTCTTTTGAGAGACCCCACTTAACTGTTTAAAGACTGAAAGAGTTTTTAGTTTGGGAATATTTTACCTTGACTGAAATTTAGCAATTGGTTATAATAAACTCTGCATGTTTGATGCCTTAAGAATACCTGTAAATCTATGATCTAACTCATTAAGGAGGAAACAGAATCAACACTTAATGTTTTAGTACAAAATGGATGATCAACGATAGTGTTAAAAGTCATCAGACTCCAAATGTTGACTCAGCTTTCTCTCTATGGATGCTGTCAGACCTGCTAAGTTTCACCAACAATTTTTGTTTTTGTGTAAAATTACATGCCAGTTACAAGCAGATTGTGAGCCATGACTGACAAGTGAAATCACTATAAGGCTATGAGCTGAATGTTCTGATCTGATAGAAATCCCACTGAAATGATAGTATGGTGGTATACTTTGTGCCAGCTCCCTACTGTGAATCTTTTAGGATCAGATTGTTCTATGTTAGAAACCTGCTGCTACTTGTTGATTTGCATACTCAGGTTTGGAGGTGATGTTTGGAGGGAGGTTGGCTGCAGTCTCTGCTATCACATAGCAACTCAAAAAGCCTTAGTTGAAAAATTATTTTCCAACAGAATCTTTTGCTGACTTGGCAAAATTAGCCAGCCAGCAATTGGTTGCAGTTGGTTGCAATCGTCATCATACCACTTCCATTTTGGACCCCTGCATGACCCTCACTCAACACCTGAATTCCATGAGCAATGCTGAACACCACTGATTGGCCAGAGTTTTAAGGTGACATGGCCAAGAAATCGGTTGTATATCCTTTTCCCATCATTAACAACTGGCATGAATAAATATGTGCAATATATACTTATTTTCAGTCAGAAAACACTCAAGTGATGGTGTTCCCCACATTGGTGCAATATGTTATAAGCTAGTCTGTTGACTGTCTTGTTACTACCTGAAAATAGGCAGTTTGTGCAAAATATGCCCCTACATGTTATCCTTTGAAAGCTCGGTAAACATCTTAATGGTTAACAGAGATCTGTCTATAAATAGATCTTAGTTGCTTTACATTTTCAAAACCTTGTTTTTCTAAATATTTCACTGTTTAACTATTAATAGATGGAATTAATTGTTATGGAGTGTGGCTTTCTTATTATGATTTTATTATCTTTTATGACCTTGAAGATTGTAGTTCAGTGCCAAATGCTGCATAAATATGCCTTGCTGAGGTTTCTCATTATAACAATCCTGGATGTTGGCAGCAAGAGACTTTCATGCCATTCCAGTACATCTTCTTTTCATTTACTATATTTAGTCAATTGAAGAATCTATGCACTGGATATGGTGATGATAATAAGTCTGCAGGACATATATCTGCAGTGGTGCTTTTGTTGGCCACTGGTACAGCACAGCTACGAATGGGTAGAAGATGACCAGTAATATCAATGAATCCCTGCTTCATTGCTATATGCACCTGGCTCCCAAGACTGTTGAAAGCTGGAAAAACAATACTTGACATTTAAAAAATCATCAAAAATAGGCTTGCTACAAAGAAACTGAAAAATGATGGACACACTCAGCTTTACTCTTTTAAAACTCTTCCAATCTGGGGGCTCATTTGGAAGTCCTTTTTTCCACCAAATTTCCTGCGTCTTATCAGAGACATTAAAGAAACTCCCACCTATGGCTCTAGTATGACATTGTGTGACAAATTGGTATGCCATATACCAGGGTGAGCTTTTTCTTTGAAAAGCAGAAGGTCAAATTACATAATTTATTTTGCCACCTTACAACTGTGGTATTTTCACATGCTAATATTTGTCTTTGTTCTGTAATAGAACATTTTTTTATTATCCCATGACTGACTATAAGTTTAATTCTCAATACTTGGGAACGACATTTGCTGCAAAATAAAAGAGTGGGAGGAGTTCAAATGCCATAGATTCTGTTAGTTTAATTTTACTGCCAAAATAAATTTGTGATAGTTATCTTGACAATTAGATGGCTGCAAAACCCAGAGAAAACAGTTGTAAAACCTACTGAAATTCTTCAATCAATCCTCAGCATCCGCCTTGAAGTCAGTCTCTGAAAACAATAAATTGTAGCCTATCAGTCAATCCATAATATAAAATAACCACCGTAAAGAAGATAATTATTTTCCAGGGCTCTAAACTCATGTTATTTTTCATATACTTGACATGTAAGCTGATTCCTCTGATGTTAGCCATGACATGCTACATTCATGTTTGTAGTCAGCCCAGTTTTTTACACTACAAATGCTTATTTTAGTTACTGGTATCAGTATAACTGGATACAGAATTAAATGGGTGAAACAGATTATGTTGAGAAGAGTGACAGAAGGTTCAGTTCCACCGCTACTTGTGTTGCATGCTGATGATATTTCAAAATGGTGACCTCCAATATCTACACCAATGGCTCAATTTTATGCTTGGCACAGAAGTTGATACCTTTTTGAATGATATTTCGATGCATCAAAGGTAGAATTATCCACTAAATCCAAGATCTTGAATTATAACAAATTTACAAAAGCTTTACTTTCTACATATTGAAAATTTTAAGTGGCTAAATAAGTTTTAGAAATAATGGGTCATTTTTACACAGGAATGTTATCTTGACTTTCTGATGTGTTCTTAGCTATATCATGTAGAAGGCCTATCTGATCTTGTTAGGTTGAAAATCTATTTTGAGAATGTGCCAGCTCAGTTTGCTTTTTGATAAAAACACCGAGAGAAATCAGCAAGAAGCTTTAGTGACAACATACATTCTTTCTTGAGTGTACAACACAGAAGGCTAAATCTTATTTCAGAGATAGTAGGAACTGCAGATGCTGGAGAATCTGAGATAACAAGGTGTAGAGCTGGATGAACACAGCAGGCCAAGCAGCATCAGAGGAGCAGGAAGGCTTCTGAAGAAGGGTCTAGGCCCGAAACGTCAGCTTTCCTGCTCCTCTGATGCTGCTTGGCCTGCTCTACACTTTGTTAGCTCAGGCTAAATCTTATGCTTTTTTTGGCTAAGCCTGAGTTGCGTTAAATGTTCTGGAGGTTTTTTCACCATGAACGCTAGAGAGGTTTCTTGTCAAACTTGCCTCACTAAATACGGTATCCCTCTTGTCTAATTTTAGTCGTATCTTACCACGCATTGTTCCATAAACAATTTGCTACTCGGCAATAATCTGCCTAAAGACCAGCATCCCTGGCACCCTGCCATCTTTGAAAGACTGCTATGTACCCAGACAAACATTGGCAATTCAGTGTTGGCCCTCAATGACAAAATAACAGCACAGCAACCACAAAGCCATGTTGTTTACAGCTCATAGTTGGCATCATCGACACTCCCTTGTACTTACAATGCAGTTCTCTCACCCTAAATGCTGTTTAACCACCAGGCCACACAGTTTACCTGTCAGTAGCTGCATCCTGTTTATACGTTCTCTCTAATTCATTACTACTCTGCTCCCAGTTCCCACTGGAGACCCACAAGTCTCATTGTCCAGTAGGGGAACATTGCATACAGGCAAGCAATCGGACAATTCCAAGTATGAGCTTCTATTTACAACCAGCAAAAATAAACATAAACTAAGTGAATAGAGGCTGGAGTTTGCTCCACAATGCAAACCAAATGCTTGCATCATGATCAGTAACTATTTCACATTCCATGTGACATTGCTGCACCCAGCTTTCACTTACTGGAATTAGGTATCAGTCAGTTCCTGTCTGGCTTCTAGCATTTGATACTGCTGAATACTGCACATCAATCAAACTGATGCTAACTCAGCACACCGAGGTGTAATTCTTTCCATTTCCCCTTTTACTTCTACCCTCAATGCATGAACCCCATATTTGTATAACCCCCAGACTTGTGACTGACTTAGTCATTACTGTCCACAGCCCTATGGCAATGTCTGTAGTTCCTTGACTGATGATATGCGATACCCCGACTGCTTGTGATGACCCCACAGAACCAAATGTGGCCCACTCCCCAGACTGTAGTTGAACATATCCTTCACCATGTCAGCCTGAGTGGATGACTGACTCTGACCAAGTCACTATTTATGGTCTGTGCTTGTAACTGGCAGACTGGGACCCCCTGGCCAAAAGCACCCCACCCCCTCCAAACTGGGCTGAGAACTATACACTCCACTCATTTTCCAACATGGCCATTTGTTTGAATACGCGTGCAATTTGTTTGCTGTGCATGCTGTAACTGTTAGATTCACATCTCGGTGTGACTTAAGGCTGCCCACACCAAACCCTGAACAGATCCCTACTGACAAGCATGTCAAGCAGTCTATCTATGTGTCTGTACAATTAGCACATCAATATGGAGTATGAATAACCTTTAAGCTCTGGCTGAAGTGCCAATGTGCTAAGTAGCAGAACCATGGCACGACAAGGCATCAATGCTGTGAGGATACTAATTGATGGTACGTGAGTGACTACTAAGAGAGCAAATGAGCAGCCCAAAGATACAGCCTGGTCCAATCTGTGAGTTAGGTACTTGTCCCGGCACACAAAATATCCTTGCAACAGCCTTTCAATATCAGTTGTAGGTTTGCCATTCAGTGTAGCTTTTTGCTTCCTAAGTCCTGAAAGTGGATCGGAGAGGTGAATGAGGATCCTGACGGGGTAGCAAGTCTTGGATCCCATTGTCCATGGTGGAGGAGTATGTGCTGTTGCTGCCCATTGATCATGCCCTGAGATGACATTTGGTGCTGAGCAACGTGGATGTTGTTCACAGCCAGTGGCAAGCGGAAGTTGTAAGGCACCTCCTCTGACCGCCATGTTGAGAATTCTTGACATTTATTTTGTCTGGAGCATTTGGAAACATCAAATGTATTCTGTACCAGGTGTTATGAGGCTCTAGTTAGATCTAAGTACATACAAACCCATCATTTTCTGCA